AAAAGAAGATATACAATTGATCAACAAATATATGGAAAAGTGTTCAACATCTTTAGTAATTAGATACATGCAGATCAAAACTACTCTAAGATTTCATCTCACTCCAGTCAGAATGGCAGTTATCAAGAATACAAGCAATAATAAGTGTTGGAGAGGATGTGGGGAAAAAGGTACACTCATATTGTTGGTGGGACTGCAAATTGGTACAACCATTTTGGAAAGCAGTGTGGGGATTCCTCAGAAAACTTGGAATGGAACCACCATTTGACCCAGCTATCCATCCCACTCCTCAGTTTATATCCAAAGTCACATAGCAACACCAATGTTTATAGTAGCTCAATTCACAATAGCTAAACTGTGGAACCAACCTAGATGCCCATCAATAAATGAATGGATAAAGAAACTGTGGTATGTATACACAATGGAATATTACTCAGCATTAAAAGCGAATAAAATTATGGCATTTTCAGGTAAATGGATGGAGATGGAGAATATTATGCTAAGTGAAGTAAGCCAATCCCCCAAAACTAAAGGCTGAATGTTTTCTCTGATTAGTGGATGCTGATCTATGATGGGGGGTGTGGAAAGAATGGAGGATAGTTGGATTGGGCAAAGGGGAGGGCAGGGAGAGGTTATAAAGATAGAAAAATGGTGGAATGAGATGGACATCATTATCCTAGGTACATGTATGATTGCATGAATGGTGTGTCTCTATAACCAGAGAATTGAAATGTTGTGCTACATTTGTGTATGATAAATTGACATGCATTCTGCTGTCATGTACAACTAAGTAGAACAAATAAAAACTACAAAAAATAGAAACAAAGAAAAAAGAAAAACAAAAACCCATTCACTTCTGAGAAGCTTTTTTTCGACTCTTCTATTCTCCTGGCTCCCATCAGAATTAGAAATCTGTATCTCCTATAATTCCTATTTTGTGAAATCTGCTATACCTTTTCCTAATTATCAGTGTGTGTGTTGTTATATCCTTAACATCGTATTGAAATCATTTATTTTTTTATCTATCTCTTCTATTAAACTGAGCATTTAATCCATTTTCATCTCATCACCTAGTATAATGCCCAGAATACAGGGATATTTATAAATTTTGTAAGAAAATTTTAAAAATAAAAATAAAAAAGGTCTGGGAAAATAATTTTTGTAAGAATGAATGAGAATATTGTCAGACAGCCCAGTATAATATCCTAATCTATTTGGTAAATTGACATTCATATGAGAGGACAGATTCACCAATTGTAATTAAAAAAAAGAAGAAAAATAACACAGGATGAATCAAAAAGCTGATTAGGAAGTCAGGTCATTGATGAAAAAATAATTTTTATTTGGCCTAAATTGAGTCTCCTATTAATAACATTGTATAAGATACCCTATGATAAGTGCAATTAGAAAAAAAACAGTCTTTGTAACCTGATTACACAAAATTTCCAATATTTTAAAACATAATTGGAACTGATCAATAAGGTGGTAAAAGAAAATCCAGAAGAATTATTTGAAAGTTAAAATGTGAGACAATGTATGCCTGTTAGCCCAGCAATTTAGGAAGCTGAACCAAGAGGACTGCAAGTTTGAGAACAGCCTGGGAAACATAATGAGATCCTGTCTCAAAATGAAATAAAAAATGGCTAGAAATGTAGCTCAGTGCTTACCTAGTATGTGTGAAGCTCTGGGTTCAACCCCTGGTACTGCAAAAGAAAAAACAATCAATAAATAAAAAGTAAGAAGGAATGTTAGCTCAAAAGAAATTTTCTGTCTATGTAATTTTAAAACCTTCCAATCTCCTTTTTTGGTAGAGAGATAATATCAACACATTGCAGTAGCCAGCCTAGGAGATAACACCTCGAAGATCTGTGCCTTACTGTATTCATTTCCCTTATTTAGTCTCTTCACTTTGTGAGTAGGGTAGGTGCTGAGTGACCAATAGAATGCAGTGGAAGTGACATTGTGTGGCTTCTGAGGCTTTGCTACAGGAGGCCTTGCAGCATCTGCTTTGATCTCTTAGAACACCCACTCTTGGAGCCCTGAGCGTGAGATGTGAAGTCCAACTATCCTAAAGCCTCCTTGCTGGAGAGATTACATGTAAAAAGTCTAAGATTTCATGTATAATAATTCCTGGCCAGTTCCCCAGCCATTTGAGTCATCCAAGCTGAGACTCTGGACATACTGTGGAACTCAGTTAAGTTGTTCCTGCCAAACCCTGCCTAAAATGCAGACTTGTGGATAAAATAAATAGCTATTGCTTCAATCTATTAATTTTCGTGTGGTTTGTTATGCAGCAATAGATAGCTGAAATACTCCTCCCTTTCCTTCCTCCTTCACTAGATGTGAATAGTTTCCTTAGATGGGTGCAGAGTGAACAAGGATGTGTCCAGTCATCTCAAGGTTGGAGAATTTTCTAGCCAACTGTATTGGGGTAATTGATTATCTGTGTTATACAGATAAACTGCATAAGGGCTGTCTTCTGATTTTTTTTAAATTGGGAATGGAACCCAGGACCTCACAAATGCCTTCCGGGTGCTTTAACACTAAGCTAAACTCTCAGTTCCAGGATTGTCTTCTGAGAAGAAACTATGTCACTTCTGTGGTCAAGACACAGGGAACCCTGGACCATCTCTAGAGCTTGTGGCCAGGCATAAACCCCAACCTAACAGATAAATACATACACTAAGCTGAACATAAAGTGCAGCATTCTACAGAAAAGAATTGACAAAAAAAAAAAAAAGTGACCAGAGTATAAACAGCAGTAGGTGTACTGGCAGAAGGAACAACTAAAGTCTGTCTGGACTTTGCAGGATTTGAGCTGTTAGCACATTCCATTTCAGGACCTGCTCCCCACCCATGTTTGTAATAAGAAACTCATCCCTACATCTGCAGCAATTAGACCAGAGGTACACACCAGTCTATAGACAGTTTATTTTTGACTGGCCAGTAATTTATCTGATTATCTCTTTTGAGAGTCTGAACTAGTATATGAAGAGAGTGTAGCATTCAGTTGGAGAGAAAGGCCAGGAGGGATCAAGGCCCGAGAACTGTTGGCAGCCTGTATATTTTGATAAGCATGTAGAGAGCTTGTTTGCAAAAAGTAGTGATGTGAATTCATGGGGAGAGAGAAAAAGAGAGAGAAAAGAATTTTAAGAGTGAGAGACAGAATGAGAGAACACTGGCCCTAGCTCTACTTACTGACTTTTTAGTCCCCAGTTTTTAAAATGTAACTTTATTTTACACAAAATTACACAAATTTTTGTGTAAATTTTGTGTAAATTTTGGGTTTGGGTGATGATTTGATGGGAATTAACAAAACAGGGACTTTATCTTCACTTTTATTTAAGGGTCTCTGAAAAGACCACTGTTTTATACTGGCTTTGTTTCTGGTTTATCATTAATGAATATTTCAAAAGAGAGTTTTAGAGTTTGTTTCCCTAAAACTAGTTTTGTCATGCTGTTTGTGCATGAAAAGGAACATAATAACTGTGGGAAGGAAATCCTACAGGCATCAGGCCCAAGCAGATGCTTCTTTACTTCTTTATTTCCAATCAATGAAGGAGGAACAAATTTAAGGCAGGAAGAGGCACTAGAAAACACATGCTCTGGATTTATCCAGTACCTGCTCAATCACTCCTATTATGACCCCATATTTATCCCTTTCTCTCTGGTCCTTTGCTTCCTCTGCTGCACTATGGTGGTGATCACAGTTTTAAAATTCTGTAAATATAAAGTGTCTAATGAGAATCTAATCCAAAAACATTCTCACATAGGACTTTCATCTCATTCTGAAGATGAAAAAATTGCACTGAGAAAAGACTATTGCCTAAGATATGCAACGTAAATTTGCAGTAATTTCTAATACTTCAGCACTGTACTTTTTCTTCCTGATTGTGCAATAAGGACAGGAAGTGAAAAGGGGAACATTGTTAATGTTCAAGTTAAGTCAGAGGCTCAGTTAGGATACTTACAAGATGTGAATAAGTGGGAAAGTAAAAGATAACCAAATTTGAACCTGAATCAATATGCATTTGATGTCCTACCAAGATGTCAAAATACTGTATCTCAGAGAAATCAACTTATTTTTTCTCTTACATAAGCTATACATATGGGTTTTCATAAAATTCTACACAAGTATCATTAATGTTAATAATTGGCATATGTGAATTTTAAAAATCTACTTATGTGTTCATTCAACAAAATGCTTTATTTATTCATTTTTTTTTTTTTTTTGAGATGGGAGTCTTGCTGTGTTACCCAGAATGGCCTTTAACTTCTGGGCTCAAGAGTTCTGTTTCAGTCTCTCAAGTACTTGGGACTGCAGACATGCCAGAGCATTTTATTGAGCAAGGAGTTGGACCAGGCTGGAGGATTTAATGGTACATGCTCATTTTAAACATGCCATTTGGTCTTTAATTCATAATTCTAATAAAGAGACATCTTTATTCTGAGTACTTGCACAAGTTTTGAGCAAACGTGAAAGTTTTAAGAAAGCATAGGTCAGGGGGAGTTGTGGAGGAAGGTTCCTAATGGGCGACAGTGGCAAGGCAATGTGTGGGGCTAGGGGGAGGGTTAATAAAGGGAGGAGTAAGGACTATAAATTTCAGGGTCTTCCTGTTTGAGCAGAGGTTCCTGTTCCCTCACAACTTGCATGATAAAACAAGTGTAATATTCGACTAAGCATCCATCCCGCGCCTAGAATTTGGGCAAAAAGACCCGGATGCCGAGTCCCACCTCCCACCAGCTAAGGGGGCCCGCTGAGTTCCATGAGGGGCGGGGCTGAGGGGTGGGGCGGGGCTGAGGGGTGGGACGGGACAGAACTAGGGGAGGGGCCGCTGTACGTTTTCCAGAGCTGGGCTGCTCCGCCGCTGAGGGCTTACGCTGGAGCCAGGCTTGGATTGGTGAGTACGTTGGTCTCTGTTTATAGGCCGCACAGAACTGTTCGCGGGGCTTTGATTGGCTCAACAGGCTCTGAGCGGTCATTGGCTACAGTGGGTCGTCAGGGCGACTAAGGGGAAAAGAAGAAGGGGTGTTGGGCCTGGCGGTGAACTGGGGCTGCGGGCAGCTGGGCGGCTCCGCGGGTAGGTGTCCAGAGAGCCGCGGGGCCAGAGTGCCCAGGGTTCACATCACACTCCAGGAGGTGCCCGGGCTAGTTGGTTGGCTGGGGAGACCCGCAGGCCAGGACCATGGGCTGCTTCTTCTCTAAGAGGCGGAAGGCTGAGGAGTCGCGGCCCGAGAGTGAGGAGGAGCAGCCCAAGCAGTACAGCTGGGACCAGCGCGAAAAGGTAATGAAAGTATTTCAACCCCTGGTCTCAGTCCTTTAGAGCCGCCCGGCAAGTGGCCCTTATAGCCGGGAAGGTCTAGGGAAGCCAACTCAACGATATGGGTAGCTGAAGTCAGGGTGCAAGACTTTGGGAGAGCGTCCCAAAGAGCTGTGAAAGGGGCCTTCAAGTTCGTTGTCCAGGTAGATGTACCCTCGGGGGCTTTGCCTCGGTTTTGCTCCCTGACTTGCGCCTACTTCCCGTTCGAGGATAGACTCAGGGAAGGAGCCAAGAATGCGCTGAATCGCAAATCACCTCATTTCACCAGCCGCGCTGAGCGGGGTTTGGTCCAATCGTCGAATTACATATGGGACTGATTCTCATCTCTTCCGCGGCTTATGTTCTGTGGCTGTTTCTCTTTTGTCTGCACTCCCTGGCAAATCTCTTTGGTGCCGCATGATATATTCCACTGCTGCATTTTCTTAGTTACTAGGTGTACTGTTATAATGTACAGCTTCCCTCTCCCTCCTTTTCCAGTTGGCTGAAAGGGATAATGAAAATCAAAAGTCTTGAATGCGTGTTAAGACTGTAAAGTGAAAGTAATTGGTATGAACTAGGCAATATTTATTATTGCTTTATGTGAATGAAAACACCCTTATTCTTATTTTGAAGATATCCCCTAGTCTTGCACAAACACACTTACTCATCCATTTCTTAATGGTTCCTCTTTTTACATAGTTCTTCATTTATGCCTAGTAACTTTGATAGACTTAATTATTCTCTTCCAAACAAAATGAGATTGTCTTTAATGAGTGTAAGAACAGTTAACTCTTACCTAGTGCAACATATCTTTACCCCCAAAATACTTTATAGTAAGTTTCTTACTAATGGTTTGATTCAGTCATAAACCTTCCTGCCCAATCACCAATTCCCAGCAGAATTTAGGCATGTAGATTCTCCAAGTGTTACATTTAATAAATTAGAAGCTTTTTTCATTATTCTCAGCCCCATCTTTCTGCCTCTGGTTCTTAGACCCTTCTTGCACCATGTGATACATTTGTTTTCTCTTATTTATACTTCATGGTGGCATTTTATCATGTATGAAAGCTGTGTTTTCTATTGTACAAGGAGATTGCACCTATCTTTTTTTTCTTTTCTTTTGGTACTAGGGATTGAACTTGTGCGCTTTATGACTGAGTTACATCCTCAGCCTTTTGTATTTTTTATTTTGAGACAGGGTCTTGTTAAATTGCTTAGGGCCTGGCTAAATTGCTGATGCCAGCTTCAAACTTGTGATCCTTCTACTTCAGCCTCCTGCACTTGGCTAGAACATGTCTTTTAAAGTTATTTGGTGAGCGTTTTTTGAAAGATTCATTTTCCTCAGATCTAGGATTTCTAACAATGCTGTTTAAACTTGAACTGTCTGCCACAGAGAAAGTTGTGTTTTTTAATTTTTATTTTAGCTTTTTGTTTTGAAATCATAGGCTAAACTTTAGTTTTAGCCTATGATTTCAAAACAAAAGTTTAGTTTTAGCCTATGTTTGCCTCTGATTCATTGTTTTACAATAAATTGTGCTACAGTTAACCTTTATTGACATTTCATTCAGCTTAATTGGGATCTTTCCAATTAATCCCTCTTTTAGATCAGTGGATGTGTTCTGTGATTTTTCTTCTTTTGCTCTTTGGCTAAGTAAAAGCATTGAAAAATAGAACAGGGGACACCATATGTAGCAAACTGTTACTTATAAACAGGGAACATTTTTTGAGAACATTACTAGATACTACAGTTGTATAGATATTACTGATATGTATAAATAAGCTCATACTTCTGTATGTGTATTAAAAGTTTAGGGGCTGGGGTTATAGCTCAGTGGCAGAGCACTTGCCAAGCACATGTGAGATGCTGGGTTCAATCCTCAGCATCACATAAACAAACAAACAAATAAATAAAGATATTGTGTCCAACTACAACTAAAAAATATTTTTTAAAAAAAGTTTAAATTTTTATTTTACTTTTTGCAGTGCTGAGGGTGAAACCCTGGGCCTTGTGCATGCTAGGCAAGCACTCTACTACCGAGCTATGTCCCCAGCCCCAATACAAGATCTTTTTTTTTTTTTTCACAATACTTAGCAGCTATTTATGTAAATACTTGAAAAAGTCAATAATGGAAAAATAGGCTTATCGTGAGAGTTTATTTTCATTGGATTTAGTTTGCCATTTAAAAAGTGCTGCTTCTAGGTTATCCTAGCAGATATAGAACACTTCAGGACACATGCATCTACTGTAACATACTATAATAGATACAGTCATTATAGAATGATTTATACTTTTGGAGGAAATTCAACAGTAGTAAGGGTAACTTGTTTATTTAAACTAAAAAAAAAGTTAGAATATACAAATTATTTTTTCTCATTTGATTGAAAGGGCTATAAAATTTCACATACCAACAAAGGAATCAACATAATCACATAGAGAACACCTCAGCTAATTGCTTTTACCTTATTTCCTCCTTAAAGGAGAGTGTACACTCAGCCATACAATATTCTAGACTGCACAATGGCTTCAAGGCTGGTCTACCATAAGTGACTGAAAGTAAGTTGTATTGGTAAGCTGACATTGAATAAGTTAAAATCTTGATCAACTCAATTAATCAAGATTTTTCTAACTAAATGAGCATTATATTCCCCAAACAACTCAGTTTAAAAGTCTTTGGACCATTGAAGAAAGAGAAATATTAGCTTACATTTTGAAACAATGGAGACACCACATTTTTAACACTGCTTTTTCTTTCTGGAATTTTTTGTTGTTGTTGTTCTTTTGGAATAACTAGGAATCTCTCTATAGTGCCTCATTTACCATAGTTTTAAGTTTTATATGATTTTAAATATATTTCTAGTTTCTTGCTTGCTGTGAGCTTGATTTGGACTACTGTATAAATGTTCTGTATTAGTCCAATGATGTTTTCAGTGACCATGGTCTTGTTTGCTCCTAGATTTTGGGGGAGGGGCTATTGGGGCTTGAACCCAGGGGTACTTAACTACTGAGCCACATCCCCAGCCCTTGTTTATATTTTATTTAAAGACAGAGTCTTGCTGAGTTGCTTAGGGCTTTACTAAGTTGCTGAGGTTGGCTTTGAACTCATGATCCTATTGTCTCAGCCTCCCAAGATGCTGGGATTACGGGACTACACCATCATGCCCTGCTCCTAGAAGAGTTTAATCATACCTTAGAAGGAACAGAATGCAAATACAGCCTAGAGAACATAACTGAGATATACTGCATTATATTAACAGAAATGGTTTGTGTTAAAAGTTTAGGTTTCCATAATGTAAAACAATGGCAAGTATTTACTTTGTTCACAATGTTGCAATTTGTATAAAGCTAAGATGGTTGATTCTGCTATATTTTAATATAGCTTATATGTTTTTAAAGTCATATCAATTGCCATTCAGCTTCTATGATTTTATGTATAAAACCAAAATGAGTTCCCTGAAGTTTCCTTGCAACTTAGAAAGTGGTATTTAAATTTTCCTTAGGTTGTGTAACCAGAGTACCTTTATTGAGGGGCACCCTTGGGGTTTTGAGTTGGGTAATTGGGTCAGTCTTCAGGGACTGAAGTAAGAAGAAATTGTCTCAATTAGAAAGAATGTTTGGGGAGTAAGTGTTGTCATGGCAACTGACATACTGTAGTCAACAGTGGAAGAAATTCATTTTCTATTGCTGCTGACTTTGAAAAAAAGTTTACAGTTACTGCACTGACATGATAAGAAATATATTTGGATTACAATATCTGTACATAAATAATTGGAAAGAAATGCTTTTATCTTTGTTATCCACATGCTATCTTCCAGTTAGGCAAAGTATTCAAAATATGTGTATTCAAACACCAAGGGAGATCCAGAATTATAATACCCATCCAAGCCCTCCAGGAAATTACTTGGTTTTTTTTTTTTTTTTTTTTTGGAGTTAAGACAGGGAGTATTTAAGTGAAAATCAGGTGAAGATGATACAGAAAATTATTTTTCATTTCCCAGTTATTCATGCCAATGTTCCTCCTAAATAAGAGGAAATGAAGATTATGTATCTAAACAATAATGACATAAATTTGAAAACTGTAGTTGGGTATGAACAACACATCTTGTATTTGTTACATTTGATTCATGTTTAATAGAAATAATACTAAACAAAATTTTTTAAATTCAAGTTTCTATTGTGTAACTTTTGTTAAAGTAACCAATTTGTGCACTTCAGGTTCCTCATCTATAAAGTGGGACAGTTATAAATATTTCTCCACTATTTAATATGGCAAAGGCCTGTCCTTTCCCTGTTCCTCCTTTGAACCAGATTGGCAATCCAAATAATTTTATACTACAGAACTGTTTAACTGTAGAATCTGTAGCTATTTGATTAATTTCTCCCCATGAACTAGAGAGGTTAGACAGTAATGATCATATCCAAGGAAAGAACTTGAACAAACTTTAAGCAGATTATAATTCCCAAAGTTGTTCATCAGTGGAAAGGGTGGCTTTGTGAGAAATTGACCTCCACATTAGTCAGAATGTTCAGAGGTTAAACGGTAACCTGCTAGAAAGAAGTGTCTGCATCAAATAGGGGGCTAGATGCTATTTTAGCCTTCTTTTAAGTAAGCAAGGTATTCTAGTTGTCCATCTCTGCATACCAAACCATCTCTGCATACCTGAAACTTAATATCTTAAAACAATGGCAAGTATTTACTTTGTTTACAATATTGCAATTTGTATAAAGCTAAGATGGTTGATTCTGCTCAATGTTGAATCAACTGTGGCAGTTTGACTAGGGGCTGAATAATCTACCTTCAGGATGGCTTAACAGCCTAGCTGGCTGGCAAGTTATTGTTGGCTTTCAGCTGGGAGCTCAGCTAGGGCTGAAGGCCAGGCACTCTCCATGCAGCCTGGGCTTCCTCACAGTATTATGGCTGGGTTCCAAGGGCCAGTGGCCCAAGAGATATTGGCAGAAGCTGCATTATCTTTTCCAAGTAGCTACT